TTTTTTTCGCGAAAAAAAAAAAGTAAATACTTCGAAATACTTCGAAATACTTTCATAAAGAAAGATGACCATTACAATATTTATTCCGGAATTATTAGAAAATATTATTTCATATCATAAAGAAAATCCTAAAACCCTTTTTAAATGTTCTTTAGTATCAAAAAGTTGGTGTAATATTGTAATACCATTCTTATGGAAAAATCCATTTCGTTTTTGTTATTCAACATCACAACATAAAATCATTAAAGTTTATTTACAATTTTTATCAAAAGAATTTTTAAAAGAACATGATTTAAATGATTTAAAAGAAATCTTTCAAATCAATAATTTAAAACCTCCTACTTATAATTATTTATCATTTTTACAAGAACTTATTTATATTACTTTATATGATTCTCTTATAAATTTATTAAAAAAAGAATTATCTTATAAAGTTTTATCTCATTCTAATGAAAAAGATTGTTCAATTTTTCATCCATCAAAAAATTTCATGTTAGGTAAAGTTTTACCTATAATTAATGAACTTATTAAATTATTAATGAAAAATGGTACAAGAATTTTTCATTTTAATTTATCTGCACCATCTGTTACTTGTAATTGTAAATGGCTTCCATCAAATTATATTATTTTACCTTCTCAACAACAACAACAACAAGTATTACAACAACACCAACAACAAGTTTTACAACAACAACAACTATTATTATTACAACAACAACAACAACAACAACAACAACAAAAGCATCACCAATACTTTCAACCAATGTTATTCTCATCATTACAATCTTTTATTTGTGATAATAATGGTCATGATTTTAATCATATTATAATGGAATTAAGTAATTATTCCAAAAATATTTTAAATCTTGAAATAAAAAAACCTCAAAATGATCAAAATATTTCTCATTGGATAAATTTAATTAATTCTCAAAAAAATTTACAAAAACTTAAATTGGAACTTTTTTATAATCATGATTCTTATAAAATTGCTTTATCTATACCTTCACAATATCATACTTTAAAAGAAGTTGAATTGGTTGATTGTAAATTTACTCAAACTATTCTTTTGGATGAACTTTCAAAATGTTCAAATTTAATTTCTTTAAAAATTAAAGATTGTTCCTTTTTAAATAATAATTATAATAATATTAATAATAATAATATTAATAGAAATGATAGAGGTGATAAAAGTCCTACTTCTTCTTATTCTCCTTCATATTTTTTGGATTATATTGAACATTCATCCTATATTATTAATAATTTTAAATCTTTAAAATCTTTATATATTTCAAAATCTCAATTATCTCAAAAATATTTTTTATCTTTTATAGGACAAGATTCAAAATTAGAAAAAATTACCCTAAGTTTAATAGATTTTTTTAAATATCCTGATATTATCCCTTTTATTTCTTTTAATTGTTTTCAATTAAAAATTTTAGAAATTGTATTAGTAGAAGAAACTTTTGAAAAAATTATACCTATAATTGAAAATTGTAAATTATTAGAAGAAATTTCTATTTGGGAAAAATATGATTGGATAGGTCATGAATTTTATGATTATCATGATAATAATTTTTTAAACCCTAATCAAGTTATTAAAACTATTTCAAGTATATTACCAAAAAATCTTAAAAAATTTCATTTTCCTCAAATTTTTAATTTTTCTTACGAAGGGATAAAATTTTTTATTCAAAATTCTCCAATTACTTTATCTGATTTAAGATTTTATATCATCATTGATGATAAAAATGATGTCATCAATTTACTTGAAAATTTCGCTTATAATACTGGTAATCGTAAATCTATTATTAAACATTCTAAATCTAGAATTGATTCCGATTTTTATAAACCTATTCATCACATATTTGTAGCAAAATTTTTTTAAAAAGAAAAAAAAAAAGTTTAATAAATTTTTTATTAACTGTTTAAGTTGTTAATCCTTTTCGAAAAATCAAAAAAAAAAAAATTTTTTTTTTTTAAAAACTTTTAAAACTTTAAAACAATTTTTCTTTTTTATTTTATCACGTGAAAACTGNGTTTTTTTTTTTTTTTTTTTTTTTAATGTACGAACGGAATAATTATCCATCTTTTAGGCCATTTCTCTCCAAATCTTTCTCTTCCCCAAAATTCATTTTCTCTTGCCATTATACCTAAACCAATAATGGTCCAAATTAATATTAACCAAATTGTTAAATTCATTCCTTTAGTTAATATAACAAAACTAAAATAAATTAATATTTCCGCAAAATAATGAGCCGATGAAATATAATCAAACCAATCTCCTTTTGGAATTAAATAAATTGAACTTTTGGTAAGTGTTGAAGTAGTTGCTGTTGTTGTTGTTGGTTTTGGTGTGGGCGTCGTTTGGCGAAGAGAAGCTAAACGCCTGTGCAAAACATGTTGATGATATGACGCATAAATGAAAAATATTACCGCGCCTATCGTATTCCATTTTAAAAAATTGGAAAATGACGGGAAAAAGGTGAATTGGCCTAAAAAAAAACAAAAAAAAAATAATATATAATATTTTAATATGCAATGCATTCATTGTACGTGTATTACAATCGGAAAATTAATTTTACCTTTATTAAAGACACCTAAATTCCAAAGTCCTTCGATAATCACTGCTAATCCTGTCGCAATATAATAAGTGATTCCAATAATATGATGAGTTATAAGCATTTTAGAATTTAATGAAGGTTTTTCTATAAAAAAACATTCAAAAGCTCTACGAATCACTTGAATTTCCATCATAAATAAAGCTAAAATACAATCTTCTAAAGATTGTTTTCCATAATATTCTTTATAAATTTCTTTATCATCATTATCATCATCATTTTCAAATAAATGAATAAATATTGAAAATATTCCATTAAAATTATTTTTTAATAAAATCACTTCAATTATAATACTTGTTATCCATAAAAATCCTGTAATATAAAAATATTTAAAATAATATTTTGGTACTGATAATAAATTTATCCATGTTTTATTGGATATTGATATTGTATCTTCTAATTTTCCATATACTTTGATTAAATTTCGAAGATATCCGATTAATGAAAAAATAAATATTATTATCGTAATAAGAATATAATAAAGTCTTATTAAAAATAACAAAAGTGGCATTTTTTTTTTTTTTAATTAATTAATTATAAATTATAATTAGAAAAGTCATGTATTTATATTAAATTATTTTGTACTACAAAAGTTAAATTAGTGTTGTAATACATATATCGTTAGTAGTTAGTTGCCATTGGCTATTTGACTATTTAGCTCCCTCCTTAGAAGCTTCTCCGTTTCTACTAGTTTTTTTTTGTCAAGCAGATTTGTTTATCCATTAAACCTTCTTTTTAAGGTTATGATGTAAAGGATTTATTCGATTAACCAGATATTACTTACAGTACTAATGAATTATGATTGGATTAAGTAACATTAACTAACGTACAGCGATCAAAGAATTTTAGACTAATAGTCTAATACTAAACTTTAACGTAAAAATCTACGATTTGTGTGATTTGTCGTACCAACGGAACGCTTAAATATTATTAAATATACTTTTTCTTTATTCACTTGGTTACGATATAATAGAGTTATATGGTGCTGATTTGCTTTTGAAGGCTTACTATATCGTTTTTTTGACATAAATAATACATAGTTCGTTAATATTTATTATTTTCGTTCAGTTAGTAGTATCGAATTCTATTCAACTGCAAATTCAATAAAGGGATGGCATAGTATGCATAGTATGCAATAACGGTAAATGTAAATAACGAACCGTGCAATACTTTAATCCGTTCAGATATAATTAAATATTCATACTTTAATAATACTGTATTGAACCGTTATCGTTATCGGAAACTAATCGTTATCGGAAACATGAAGTAAAATCGAAAAATTTGAAAAATCTGAAAAAAAAAGTTTTAAAAATTTATTGACGAGTAAAAATGAGTAAAATAAAATTGCCACTTCGCCAATAACATTCAGGTTACGTCACGACTGTCACGTGCCAAAACTATTTTAACTCTCTCTTTTCAAATATTAATCCTTCATCACTAGGAAATTTTAAAGCTCCATAAATTTTTGGTTTAATCTTTTCAATACTAGCCTTTTTAATATCATATTTTAATAATAAGTAATGTAATGTAAGTTTAATTTCGTTAACAGCAAAGTGTCTTCCCGGACACGTATGTTTCCCTAAACCAAATGTTAGGAAACTTTGTCGGCGCGTGTTGCTGGTGAATTCTTTTTCAAGTATCGAAACGCGTTAAATTCATCAGCATATTGACCTTGTAATTCTTTATCTGAATGAATTTCTCCTGAACAAATATTAACAAGTCGACCTTAATCATTTTATTAGAATGTAAATTAGTTTATTGAAATTTTTTTAAGAATAAGAATAAAAATAAGTTACCTTTTGGAACTTGATATCCATTTGAAAATGTAAAATAAGAAGAAAGTGTTTTATGTTGCAATGCAACTAAAAAAAAAGGGTCATTATAGTCATCATAAAAAATTATCAAAATTAATATGATTTTAAATATAACGAAATATAACGAACATAACGCTTACCATTGTTTACATTTACTCTCAGAGTTTCTTTAATAAAACTATCTAATTTCTCCATTCTAGCGATTTGTTCGGTAGAATAATAAGATTTTTCATTACTTTTATATAACTGCTCTTGTTCTTCTAATATTTCTTTAAGAAATTGTGGATTATTTACCAATTCTATTTTTTTTTTTTTTTTTAAAAAAAAGAAAGAGATAAAGTTAATTTATGAAATTTATAAAAAATCATTTCAATATATATATATAATATATAATATACCATGTAGACAGAATGTAAGAAAATTAGAAGTTGTATGCACAGAAGCAAAGATGGAGATAATCATATAATCAGTTACAACATCAATATCAACAGTATAATCTTTATGTAATAATTCAGTATATCGTTGTAAAATATCAATCTATAGTAAGGAAATGCTTTAATAATCATTTTTTCCAGCTTTAAAATGGTTAATATAAAAAAATTACCGGAGAAACGTAATTATCGCCTGATTCTTTCATTTCACGTAACCGTTTTTCAATCACGGGTGTAATCTTTTTTTTAATCAATTCTCTATGCATTTTAAAAGGATTGTTTAAATATTTAAACACGATTCTAAATATAAAAAGAAAATGATATTAGATATTAAAATTTGTTAACTGGCCAAATCAACCATATGATTTACTGTATACTTACATCATTACTTGCTGATGCAAATAAGGATGAATAAAGTTCAAAACAGGTGAAATAGATAAGAACGGAATAAAATCTGTTGTAACATTAGCAAACGAATTCACCAATTCTTTATCATCAGATAACTCTTCACCGACCATAGTAGCAGCAATCGGTTTTGCAATGATAAATTGAAAGAATTTTAAAGGAGGTTCTAAAACTAATATAATTTGGATTAATTGGGTAGTCGAACTGTTGTAGGTAACAAAAACTTTACCAAATAAATTGAATAACTAAATCAAATTAGTTCAACTCATCTTACCTTTACCATTTCCAATCATTTCATCAATAGATTTAATTAGTTGCCTCTGAACTCGTTCTGTATATAATTTTATCTGCCCGGATAAATTTATTTGAACCATTTTAGGAAATGTATCAGTGAATTCGTTTGGACGATTCAAAAAATTTTCAAATGGAAAGTTCTAAAAAAAAAAATTTTCTTTTTATTACATTCTTACGAAGACGAGAGGGCTCAAATGTTTTAAAATTTTTTATATAATATTTTTATAAAATACCTCTCTGCTAGCTTCGATAAAACTAAAATCTTTGTGATTCTTGAGAATTTCACAGGAAAGTTCTTTACCAACAAAAGTTATAACTTTACCAAACACAAATAATGAAAAGATTTCCCCGTACTCCGCATGACATTTTTTAATAAAATTCTTGTTATCTTTATAAAAATCATTTGTGTGACCAATAATTGGATATTTGTAAGGTACGAGAGGAGGTTCTTTCTAAATATTTTTATTTTATTTTTTATTTAAAAAAAATAATAAATTCACTTTATATAGTTTTTACATACGCATACAATAGTTTATTATAAATAAACGGATTTATCGGGATTACCAGTTTTAAATATTTTACTCGGCGCAGTAAAACATATGAAACCAACATTATTAATGATCCAAAAGCAAGTTGAACATAAGTATCATTTAACATAACTCCCATCTTTACGAAAATATGAAAATACTGTTTTAATAAAAAAAAACAAAAAGAAACAAAAAAAAAATCATTTATAGCAAAAATAAGCACTTTTTATTTTTGAAATGGTGAACTGCTTTACACAGCATGTGCATTCTTTTTTAGACAATTATAGGTATGCTGCGTCGTTTGCGCCTGAAATCCTGAATTATTCGGTATCCGCGTTACATCAAAATTATGATAATTCGCTTGAATAAAAATCTCTCAGAAGAAATTATTTTTCTCATTAAAAGTAAAATATTGACCTAAAAATGTCATATATGTAATGGATTTTTAAAATAACATATAAGTAAACGATGTAACTTCTTCCACCATTGCGAGGTCTTACATACGTATTGTGAATATTAAACAGACCTGCACTGACTACACGATATTAAAATCAAATTCTCAATGAAACTTGTTATTTTTTTTTTAAAAAAAAAAATATTAATAATAATAAAATAAAAAATAAATAAATATTAATTAAAAAAATATAAATTTCGAATTTTAATATTTTCTTTTTTATTTCTAACCGTTTTTTGAATTTACAAACAAAAACAAATTTAAATGTTACTCCTTGATATTAGAAAAGTACGAACAGTTGCCGAATATACAATTCATAAGTGATTACACTATACTCTTATTCAAGAATTCCGATTGGCTTACTGGGTTAATTTCACCGACAATCACCTCACCGACAAACATAGGGTCACCTCACCGAAAACGTTTCACCGACAATCATTCCACAGAAAGTTCATTTTAGTGTTAGTGCAAAGCTATTGTTTTTTGCTCATCACAACTAAAATAAATTAAATAAATTAGAGCAATATTAAAAAAAGAATTATTTATACGAAAGACATAATTATAAATTATTTTTTTTTAAAAAAAAACATATTTAATAATTAAAAATTATTGTATATATCGGTACGTTTGTCGGTGAAATGATTGTCGTCGGTGAGTTTAAATGCGTCTTCTTACTCATGACAGTATTAATGAATTATGATTGGATTATTCCATGTACAGTAAACATCAACGCAATAAATCTGCGATTTTGTGATTTGTCGTCCCTGTTTGACATCACCTGTTTCTTTAGTTCTTAAGATTATTTTCAACGAAGGAGCATTAGTAAATTTTTATAGCAAAAAATACATTAATTTCTAAATACTTAGACTTTATAAATGATGAACTAACGGTCCATTATTTATAACAATATATTAAATACATTTGGGATATTTTGCTGTACAGTAGTAAAATCAAATTACTCGTCAAAATATAATGTAGAACACTTGTTATTTAATGTATTTTGTCGAATGAATGCCAATACTTTGTAATGTTTAATAGTTTTTCTTTTTGTTCAAATTTTGCGTTAACCATTTTTTGTAAAGAGAAAGTACGTGACAAACAAAAAACTGATGTAATAGTTCCTTATTTATTTATAATATTTTTGCGAAAAAATCGTAATCAACATTATCACATATGTTGGCATAGCATACTATACATTTATTATTTGAATTTCATTTCATTCAAAGTAAATTTATTATAACATTGAAAAATAAAATTATTACATACCGCTATAATGTACTGAGAAATAAATAGTTTTTTCAATATAATGGTAAAGATAAGGGAATATTGTTTACTTTTAACATGTGATTAATAACTATATTAAATAAAATGATATTTTATTATTGTTAATTATTTATTATTTGAATAAAACTTAATAAAATTGCCGGAGGCGATTCATCGCCGGTGTCACGTGATTTTTAATAATGTATAAATCTTCCCCAGTATCGCCAGAAAATTTTTTCACCCCCACGTGACCCTAAATAATTTGTCACCCGTGTCAAATCCCTCCACTTTCTCATTTTTTATAAGTATTCTGGGGACTTAGATTTTTTTCGGTGTCTAAAATCCTATTCGTCACACGTTATTCGACACATGGTTAATTTCTTAATTCCAGCCAAATCTCATAATGCCGGCCAAAGTCACGTGGGGTGAAAAAATTTTCTGGCGATACTGGGGTAGATTAATGTATAATTTGTCACCCCGCGTCACACCCTCCTTGTTTCCGTTTTTACTATGTATTCTAGGGACGAATTTTTTTAGTATGAAAAATCATATTTGTCACCCTTATTTGTCACATCCATAATTTCAGCCAAATTTTATAATTCCGGCCAAACTTGCCTTTTTTAGATACTAGAGTAACGTTACACATTCCAAAAAAGGCAATTTTGTTTCTCATAAAAATCGGAAAAATGGGAGATCATCTTACCACACCACCCTCAAATGCAAATCATTTTGATTGGTGATCAGATTTTCCTTTTTTGGGGCATAGTTAAAGCGGATTTAATGTGACTCAAAAAATTTTCCAGATTCCCCTGATGTGGCACATGTGGTAAAATATTTACCTGTAGTGCTCAGCTGGCTCAACGTTAAGCCGTAATTGAACTTGAGAGGTCTTTCGTGAGTGTAGCGAGTGCTCACATGAGCCACACAGCTGCGAAGGACTGGCCCTGCCACATCACAGCGACACTGTTGTTACAGCTGGACCACTATGGGTAAATATTTTCCCGCTATATGCCATCAGGAGAATCTGATACAAAATTTTTTGAGCCACTGCAATCCTATTCCGCTTTAACCGTGCCCTTTTTTGGCATGTCCCTGAACACTATTTTGATACAATTTGATTATGAGACTTTGTCACATAAAAAATTTTTTTTTTCTTAAAATTTTTAAAAAAAAAGTTTATAATTTTTAAAATTATAATAAAAAAAAAGTTTATTTATTTTTAAACTATATTTACTATATTTTTTTATTGATAAAATATTCTATAATATGGTATTTTGATATATTTTGACAAAGACTTCATTATGTTAAAATGTTTTATGAAAATCTTTACGTTGTTGTTTTTTAGAAGGTGATATTGGACATAAATTTTCAGTACTTTTTATTTTTCTTTTATTTCTTGTTTCATTTTTTTCTTTCCAGCTAGGCATTATAAGTAATACTCTTCCAACTGTTCACAATTATTTAAATTATTTAATAATGTAGTTATTTCTTTAGCTACATTCTCTGTATCAGGATCAATTTCAGCTGGTCTATTTTAAGTAAGTCTATTCATGCTATTTTCAACTGTAATTAAGTCATTCAAATCAGCAAGAAGATTTGATATTGAGCTAATATATTCTTGCTTCCAAATAGATATTATTGAATGTTTTATATTTAAATTAAGAGGAGTAAGAGGAGTAGTAGTCTTAGTTGAAGTGGTTGTTTCAGTTAGAGGAATAGTAGTGTCAACTGCAGTTGAAGGAATAATAGTTTCAGTTGGAGAATCTTTGTCAATAGAAATTATATTATCTGTAATCGTACTATTAGACAAAATTGAATCTAAAATATAATATTAAATTAATAATATTTTTAAATACAAAATGTATAATAATAATAAAATAAATTCACCTTCTAAATCACCTGTATATACTTCTTGTAACTCCTGTTCAAATAATAATAATTCTTGGGTTTGTTTCTTATCTAAAGAATTAAAGGCTTTCTTTTGTGATAGAAGAGTAATTAATGGTAATTGATTGTATTGCAAATTAGGATAGTATGTATTTTAAAAAGGTTGTGATCGTAGCCAATTAATCCATATTATAGCAGCACGAATGTGTTTGCAAGCACCACCTTTAGATAAGAAATCAAGACATTAACAATAAATGTTAAGCAATAAGATTACTGTATAAATTTTCTGTCCAATCTGATTTGATTCACTTGATTTAATCCATAATAATAGTGAATCTTTCGTATATTTTACATTAATTATTTGTTTTTCTTGTATAATGGTCTTGGCTTTTTGCTCACGTAATTTATCTAGTATAAAATAAGCTAACTGATTTATTTTTCATAAATTTTGATCAGATTTTTTTGGCTCAGAAGTATATTGAATAAATCTAGTATCTAATGTCACATCTAGTTTTTTCCTAAGATCTATATGTAACAAAAGATTGGATGTAATACTTTTAATAAGTAATACACTTAAAACATCTAGTCTTAACAAATAGCCTTCATTTTGAAATCTGTTTAAGTGATGAGTTTTTAACTGATTATTAAAAGCCTCAAGATGGTTATTAGTATTTGGTATAGAATCAATAGATACATTTAAAATATTTGCTGCAATTAATTTACCATAATACGTCCACCCAAGCTCTATATTTCTAATCCAATATTCATTAAAATATTTAACAAATTCTAAAGCACCATTAATAATAGATAATATTTTAGAATTTGCGTTATTTTGGCGTTGTTATTGTGAAATATTCTATTAAAAAAATAAATAAATTATATTTAAGAAAATATAAATAAAAAATAATTCATTTAATTTTAAAAAGATATATTTTTATACCAATAAATATTGTTCCATATTAAAAAGAATATACACAATTTCTTCATAATTTCGTGCAATCTTAATCCTAAGAAAATATAATTAATATATTTAATAAATTCTTATTGATTCACTACTGATTAATACATACCTTTTAATATTATTATTTAAATATTCTTTCATATCTTTTCGATAAGAAATAATATCATAACTACCATAACTACCTAACATTTGTTTCATCTTGTTTTTCCAACATTAAATACATATAATAAAAGATGCAAATATGGCCAAACCTCTAATAATGCTAGTTGTTTTTTATAATCAGTATCTGTAATAACTACTTAATTAAATTAATTTTATTTAGTTAATATTATAAATATATATTATAAATAGTGAAGAAGGATAAACTACTTACTTTTAGAAGAAATTCACAATTTTTTTCAGTGGATAATTTGTCTTTGTATTGCTTTAATAATTCTTTTAAAATTGAATAGTTATAAGAACTACTTGCTTTTTGCGCTCCACTAGCTGCAGAAAATAATAAGTATCCTATTGGAATTCCTTTATTATCTTGATTTATTACCAAAAGAACAAATAATAAGATCTTTTTTGTTGGAAAATCCAAAAGTTCTATCAAAATGTATAATTTTATTATGACTATATTCCCATGCCATTTCTTTTTGTTCTGGAGTTGCTAAAACTAACATTAATCTATTTTGATTAGATTGTTTAGGTTTATAAAAAATTGTAGAATTTTTAATTATTTTATCATTGTTAGTTTCAAAAATTTGATGAATATTTTTTTCAACACTATTTCTAATATCTATACCCCAAATGTCTTTTGTAATTGAATTTCTAAAATTGATAATATCTTGGCTGGTTAACAAAAATCTTTCATTGCCTATTAAAACATTTCCTCCTAAGTTTAAATCTATAAATTTCATATTATCTTCCAATATTACGACTGGATGAACTTGGGCTTTTAACATATTAATTGCTATAGTTTTAACTATTTCATTAATATAAAGTAGTGGTAGTTGTTGTAGTTTTGAGTTAATACATGTTCCAAGTAACCATCCAATGCCATATAATTGTTATCTTTATTTTTTTTAATTCTAGCAAATGCTAGACAGCCAACATAAGTATACATCTGTCTATTTTTTCGTGTTGAAGAAGATTTTAATGTCATATCACTTCCACAAAAACATTGAAGTATATAAAGTCCCTTTTTTTTTATCACTATATCGTGTTTTTCACTTACTATTCTGATCCAAATCCTTTAGCAACAAATTATGAGATTTTAAAAATTGAAATGCATCTTTTTAAGAATCATTTTTCCAGTTTATATGTATAAATGAATTTACTGGTAATGTTTTAAGCTGTTCTTTTTGGTCATCATTTAAAATTAAATGGGATGGTATTTGGTACAAGTGTTGAGATAAGGCAGACATTTTTAACATTAAAATTTTAAGAAAAAAAATTTTTACATGATAAAGTCTTATAATCAAATTGTATCAAAATAGTATTCAGAAACATGCCAAAAAAGGAAAATCTGACCGCTGATCAAAATGATCTGCATCTGAGGTGGTGTGATAAGATGATCTGGAAATGAGTTATACAATATTCCAAAAAATGCAATTTCTATATCGATCATTTAATTCCAGCCAAAATTAAAAAATTACATGACACTGGTGATGATCATCGCCAGCGATAAATAACAAACTCCAAAACTTAAATCTAATTTATAAATTAAGTGTAATAAGAAAGAAGTATTAAAAAAGTTTTTTTTGTCTTCAAAATGAATTAATCTCTATTAGAATTTTAGGTTCAGTTAATACCATCCAAGTCTAATACTGTAAGTCATATGATATTATATAAAAATAAAAATATAATTATGTAATATTTTTTTAAAAAAAAAATCCATTTTTTATAATTATTATAGTAATTATAGTGTAATTATAGTTATATTTTATATATAAATAATAGATATATAAAAAAATTTTTTTTATATAGTACAAAAAAAATAAAATAAATTTGCTAACTTTTTTTATAAAAAATATTATATAAAATATTAAATGTTTACTATAAAAAAGGTTTTTTTTTAAAAAAAAATAAAATAAATCTAATATATTTAAAAAAAAATAAAATATATTAATTATATATCTAATATTCCAAAAAGGATTTTATAATTTTCCGCTATAGCGGAGTTCCGCTAGTGTCACGTGACGCGAAGATCATTTCCTTTATAGGAAATTAGTGTAACCAATTTGCTCCATTTTTCGTCAGAAGTAAAATTTCCTTTTTAGGAAATTTGTGTAACATTATATGATTGGACTGGAATTACGGAACTTGGCCGGAATTAACCATGTGACGAATAAGGTGACAAATATGATTTTTTCATTAAAAAAATTCTAAGTTCAAATAATACTTAGTAATTTTTGAAAGCTTGAGGGTGTGATACAGGGTGATGGTTTAAACGTTACACAAATTTCCAAAAAAGGAAATTTTACTTCTGACGAAAAACGAAAATTATTTATGCAAATGAGTTACACAAATTTCCAAAAAAGGAAACGATATTCATGTCACGTGACACTAGCGGAACTCCGCTATAGCGGAAAATTTTAATTTTCTTCCAAAAAAATATATTATATTATTTATTCAAATAATAAACTAAATATAAGTAAATAATTAGCATATAATTAATATTATATTGGTAATTATTATTATATAATATTTATCAGTAGAATTAATTTTTTGAATTATTACAAACATAATATAATACTATAATTCACCATAATTCATATATTTTATTAATAATAATTATAACTGATCACTTATGCAATTGATTTTACTTATAACATAATATTTTAACAATAACTTTTTAATTTTACTGAAAAATATAATTATATTATACAAATAATAGCCAATTACACATGTCAAATGACCAAAAACAGGCAAAAAAAAATGGCACGAATTGCATAAACTATTCACAAATTTGTATAAACTATTTACAAATAGTATAGATTAATGCATTTCGACCTGTTATTTAATATTTACAGAAGATGATTGGTTGATTTAATAAATTTTTTGCTCAGGTTACTAATTGGAAAAAAAAATTATTTTTTTATGATTATGATTGGTTAAAACTAAAATCACATGACTAAATAAAATAAATTTTTTTATCTTTTTGTAACATTTATATAATCCGTCCAGTTATACTATAAATTAAACTTACTTTAAATTAGTTTTAAAGTTTTAAACTAATTTTAAAATTTTAAAGTATTTAAACTATAATTAAATTAATTTTAAAAATAGTTTTAAATAGTTTCAGAATTTTAAATTACAGACTTTTGTGTTTTAAAAAACAATTAAGTTTATAGTACATTATATAAGTTTATAAATAATTAAAAATAATAAAATGATATAATTTTAACAGTTAAGAGTATTTACTAAATATTAACAGTAATGATTATTATTACATGTAAATTATTTTTTGAATTTTCAAAAATTTTTAACTGAAGTATTATTTTAATTATAATGTAAATATCATTATTATACATCAGGAATTTAAACACGGCATAATGTTCCGTAAGTTTACGGATTTTCGTAAAATTACGTACATTTACGGCATAATGTTCCGTAGATTTACGGATTTCCGTAAATCTACGTAATTTTACGATCGAAATATTCCGAAATAATACGGGATCGTAAATGTTCCGAAGCATTACGATCGAAATATTCCGTAATAATACGTGATCGTAAATGTT